GGCTCCCCTGCAATCATCCCCTGGACTAAGACTGATCTTTCCTGAGAAGTAACTAGAAGGGATTAACAGGGGTAGTGGTGGCCTTGCTCATTGGAGTAAGGAAACATGACAATGAAAGCACTTTATAGAATTAATTTCTGGATAAAAGGAGCCCCCAGTATTCTACAGACAGGCTGGGGTAACTGAACCCACTAATTGGAGAGGAACAGTTTTTGCCATCTGCTAGAGTGGAAGAAACCTTACTTGGCTTTCCATGTTTGAGTACAAAGTCTTATAAAAGTTTCAGATTAATTTGATCATGTAGTGACTCCTTTCAAGGAGTTATTAAAACTTATAAATTCTTAGAAAAGCTGGAGGGATGTAGTTCTTTCCCCAGGGTGAATAGAGGGAGAGGAGTCATTACAGGATAAAACAGAAAATAATTATTGTGTTGGCCAGCTTTCCCGCTGCTGGGACAAAACACCTGACACCTGCAACTGAAAAGAGGAAAGGTTAATTTGGCTTATGATTTCAGAGGATTCAGGCCATGCTAGGTTGATTCTAATGCAAGAACATCATGGTGGAAAGGGATGGTGAGGCAAAGTGGTTCACTCCTGGTGGCTCAGAAACAGAGCACAAGGGAAGACCTGCAGAGAAAAAGGGGCCAAGGACAAGATATAGTCCCCAAGGTCACCCTTCCCTGACCCACCCATAAACACCTAGAGTGTGCTTTACTAATCCTGTTGGTGGCTCTTGAGCCAATCTAGTTACTAAACAAGATTAATCACCACAATTATAAATTGTGATAAGGGCTAAAAGACAACAAATAAGATAGTGTAGGGGAGAGTAAGGCCAGGACTGTGGAGTGTGCATTTCAGATGAGAAGGCCAGGAAAGTCCTTTCTGGGCAGGTGTCATATTGCACTGAATTGGAATGATGAAGCCACAGGTAAAGCAAGTGTGGAGGGCTTGGAGTGGGCGAGAGTTTGTTGGTTTTGTAGAAACTAACAGAAGGTGGGAAATAGTGGCTGAGAAAATGTTGGCGGGATGGGGTGGAGCAGGCTTCCCAAGGTCCTGTAAGCCAACAGAGCAGCATTTCAGGTTTATTCCAAATGCAGTGAAGGCAACTTGAATATTTGAAACAAGAAACCAATGTAATACACTTTTTAAGAGTAGGAAATGTGGATGTTCCATACTGTTCTTATTTTTATTTATTTATTTGTTTGTTTGTTTATATTTTTGGTACCAGGGATCGAACTCGGATCTTTGCACTTGCAAGGCAGGAGGCATAACCACTGAACTAAATCACCAGCCCCTGGTTTTGTTTTTAAACTACAGTGAACCCTCAAGTTACAACTGACCTGATATATGAACAACTTTGGTTAATTAGGTTAATGGAAGATTCATCTACCTCTTGCTGTCTACAGCATGTACCTAGGTAAACATCCAGATATCAGCTATATTGACTTACAACCAACCCTCCCTCGGGAACCAATTAAGTTTGTAAGTCAAGGGTCCACTGCATTAGTTATTGAGTGCCTATTATATAGCAGGCACTGTGCTCAGGTTTTTATATACATTATCTTATCCAGTCCTTCCAACAGTACTGAGTTGGAGGAAATGTATTCATTTTTCTGGATGGTAAACTGAGGCTGAGAGAGTAAAATAACTTCGCCAACATCATATATCTGGTAAGTGGCAAAGATGGGATTCCAAATGGAGAGCTGACTCCAATGCTTGAGCCCTTTGAACATTTTGTTTTCTCTCACTTCCCCACCTCCCTTGTGTAACATTAAAAAGTTGTGTGTGTGAGTTGGGAGTGGTGGCACATGCCTGTAATCCTATTCTCAGGAGGCCGAGGCAGGAGGATTGGTGCAAGTTCAAGGCCATCCTGAGCTACATAGTGAGTTCAAAGCCAACCTGAACTAAATAGCAAGACCTCGTCTCAAACAAACAATAAAAAAATTATGTGTGTATAAAATTTTCCATTTTATCTATTTTAAATGTACAATTCAGTGGAATTAATTATACTCAACTTACTGTGCAACCATCACGTGTAACTATTTCCAAATCTTTTTCATCATCCCAGACAGAGAGTCTGTAAACAGAAAGCAGTAGCATCTCTTTCACCCTTGGGTAATCTCTAATCTGCTAAATCTTTGTCTCTATGAATTTGCCTACCACAGATATTTCATACAAGTAGAGCCAGACACTATTTGTCCTTCTGTGTGTGGCATAATGTTTTCAAGGTTCGTTTGTGTTCTATTATGTTTTAGCACTTTACTCCTTTTCATGGCTGAGTAATATTCCACTTTATATACACAATTCTTTTTGTTTATCGGTTCATCTCTTGGAGGACACTTGGGTTTGTTTTTTTTGTACCGGGGATCAAACTTGGGACCTTGCGCTTGTGAGGCAGGCAGCAGAACCACTGAGCTAAATCCCCGGCCCACTTGGGTTGTTTTCACCCATTGACTATTGTGAATGAACATTGATACATGAGTATCTGTGAGTCCCTGTTTCAATTTTTTTTAGATATATACCTAAGATCGGAACTGCTGGGTCATGTAGTACATTAGCTTTCAGGGGAACTGCCAAACTATTTTCCACAGCAGCTATATCATTTTACATTCTTATCAGCAATGTACAAAGGTTCCTATTTCTCTAAATCTTTACCAACAATTGTTTTCTGTTTTTATTTTTTATTGTATTTTTTTTCAGTTTGGATTTTAGCCATCCAGTAAGTGGTATCTCATTGTGGTTTTGATTTGCTTTTCATAGATGATGTTGAGTATCTTCTTACGCTCCTGTTGACCATTTGTATTTTTTTCTTTGGAGAAATATCCATTCAAGTCTTTTGCCCATGTTTAAATTGGTTTATCTCTTTGTGTTAAGCTGTAGGAGTTTTAAATATACATTTTGGATATTAAATCCCTATCAAATATACGATTTTCAGATATTCTCTCCTATTTCATGGGTTATCCATTTGCTGTCTTGATAATGTCCTTTGATGCAAAAAAGGTTTTTAATTTTGATGAAGTACAGTTTATTTTTCTTTTGTTGCATATGCTTTTGGTTTCATTTCTAAAAGTTCATTGCCAAATCCAAGATCACAGAGATTGGCCCTTTTGTCTTACCCTGCTTTCCCTCACTTGTAACCATTCAGTTTTCATCTAGATTTTAGACGGCAGTCCCTTCACCAGCCAGTGGAAGCATGGGAAGTTCTGCCGGCTTCTGAAAGGAGCTCACAGAGCAGAGGGGACACAAAGCCTCCCATAGTGACCATGCTGTGATGGCTGATGCCAATCTAGTGGCCTTGTGTGGATCTTCACCGGTCCCCGATACTTGCACAAAATGATGAAAGGAAGTAACATGTTCATGAAACTAAACTTATTCTATTTAAGGAACTATTATTACTATGTAAATGGCTCTTTTCCGTAACATTAGAATGTTCTGATGACTGGATGCTGAGCATCAATGGTGATAGGTTCTTCAGAGGCTCTGTTTGGCATATTAAGAGTAAGAAATCCTGTGTCAGATTTCCAAATGTGGGGGGGGGAAATAAAACTAGGTTATGAAAGTCAAAGATTAAGAAGGAACCACACATGCTAGGATTGGGTTCCATGGGCCAATGAAGTATGTCAGGAGTGCCTGCCTGGAATTTCTAGGGAAGGCTTGGTGGGACCTTGCCCAGACTTGCTCAAATATCTGACCCATTTCTACTTTAACCATCATCTTCATGCAAGATTTTTAGAAATGGAGAATGAGAAAAACAGAAGAGCAAAGCAAAGCTAGTAGTTCTGTCTCTTACTCTGAATTCCTCTGTGTAGCCTCTGACTGATTCCTCTTCTATGGCTTTCTTTATACTTAAGGTATATATATATTTTCCTATATATATTTTTTCATATATATGAAAGGGAAAAATTCTGACTCAGAGAGGGACAGTTTTTTCTCATGGGAAAGAACTCTTGTTTGTACTTGGGGACTGAATAAAGTTGGGCTAATGAGTTCACCCTTGTAGAACATTGAAATTCTCCCAAACATACTAATTAAGGTACTTTTTGTCTTTTGTGTTGGTTTAGCTTTGAAGATACTATGAAAATGGCATGCTGCAAACTTGAGGAGCCAAGTTTGGAAGCAGTAGCTTAATGTCCACTTGACGATCAGTCTTGTACTAGAATGGCCTAGTTTAGAGAGTGGTCTCCGGTTTTCTGATGGCTCCCAATACTGGGCTGCTCTACACAGTTGTGTTCCCTCTGGAGCTGCACAGTGCACAGTCTATGTAATTGTAATTAGTGAACTGTGTCACAACAAAAATAGAAATGATAGAAATGAGGCCTGGTGGTGTGGCTCAGTAGTAGAGTGTTTGGCTAGCATGTGTTAGGTCCCGGTTTCGATCCCCAGTACTAGGAGAGACAGGAAAAAATGACAGAGATAGAGATAGTGATAGAAATACATGGAGATAGAAAGATAGATAGAGATAGAGGGGTAGAGAGATGAACTGAACAGGGAACCTAAGACATTTGCATTTGTTTACTAATTATGTACGTGTTCTACTATGAATCCACCTAGATTACATATTGCTGAACATATATTTATTTTTTGGCAGTGTTGGTGATCAAACCCAGAGCCTCTTGTAAGCTAGACTCCCAGCCTACTAGACATGACTTTTTGTTGTTGTTGTTGTTGTTATTGGGGATCGAACTCTGGACCTTGCACTTGCGAGGCAGGCGGTGGCACCACTGAGCTAAATCCCTGGCCCAAACTTGACTTTTTGAAGATAAAAATAAAGCTAATAGCAGCTGTAACGTATTTCACCTGGGCTCCAGTGGATGGTTTTTCAGTACCTCCTGGGGTTGGCCACCCCACTTTGGAAGCATAGCACTCTGAAGAATTCCCATGGTTCTTCTCTCTGGCAGGGCAACACATTTGTAGGTCAAGGTTGATTCCTAACAGTGGAGAATTTTCAGGTCTTGTCTTTCCCACGAGGGCCTGTCCTCACCTGCTGTCTTTCTGTTGCAGAATACACAGTCATCAACGAAGCCTGCCCTGGAGCCGAGTGGAATATTATGTGTCGGGAGTGTTGTGAATATGATCAGATTGAATGCATCTGCCCTGGCAAGAAAGAAGTTGTGGGTTACACCATCCCTTGCTGCAGAAATGAGGAGAATGAATGTGACTCCTGTCTGATTCACCCAGGTAAGTGTGGAATGAGAGAATAGGCTGAATTCCAGCAGGCAGCCATCAGGAGGCTGTGGTGCCATGATTATTCAAAGTGACACAAGTTAGCCCATTCTGACTTCAGGCAAAGACATTAGAGAAGTCAGTTCTCTTTTCACTGTTAAAGTTGCAAATATGAATTCATCCACTCATTCATTAATTTAACAAGTAGACTGAGTAGCGCCTCTGTTCCATGTCATTTACTGCGAGCACAGTGATTAAAAGAAATTGACACAGACCCTGCATTCCAAGAGCTTATAGCCTGATGAGGGAGATGGAGAACAGCTGATGAGGCAGCTATGATACAGTGTTGCATAGGTGCATGTAAGTCCAAAGGGAGAGACACACAGGGTCCCGTGGCAGCATGGATGAGAATAGTGATTAGGTAGAGGGAATTTTAGGCTATATTCTGAAGATATGTTGGTAAAGAGTGGTGGTGTAGTAGAAGTTGGAAATCTTTTAGTAAAGAGTTGAAAGCAAATTTTGTCTTTTGCTGCAATATGGGGAAATAAATGGAGATGGTGATGAATGGAGGCAGGAGAGAAATAATGGTGATCATAATAAAGGTAGAAGCCCGATGTCTAGAGGGAGGTTCAGGGATTTGGGAGTCATTAAAGAGCTGAACACCTTCAAGATAGACTGGACAGCAAAGGAAGGGAAGGGAGGAGCAGAAGTCAAGGATATTGCTCTGGCTTCTGAGAGGGATGTTTGGGTGTCAGGAATAAGAGAGTGTCATTGGGTGAGGTAAGATCTTCCCAGGCCATTTTGCTCATTCTTTTTCCTTACCTTATCCTGGGCCTGACTTCTACTCTACTGCCATCCTCTCCTGCCCCAACTTCAGAAAGGATGGCAGTTTTCTTTTTAATGATTGGAGATTTGATAACTGCACCAAAATTCCAACCTGATGGAGTCCAATGGGGACCCTGAGCCTCAAACAGAAGGATATGTTTCTGTTGTAATTGGGAACTCATTAAACATTTTCTTGGTGTTTGAAAAGTAACTAAGTCCTGCTGTCTTACCCTTCTGACTTCTGCTAGGAGTCTTTCCCTCTCTAGGTCAGGTTGAAAGGAGAATGTCAAGATTTTCAAATGATCTTTCCAAAGACTGAAGGATGAAAGGATATCAAAAGAATACTTCAGGAATTTTTCTCATTTTTGTATTTCTTTTTCTTAAGGAAAAAAAAAATACGTGGAGAATGATCCTCATTGGTACCAGAAACTAACTTTCTTTCATGGGAAGCTATGAAAGAGGAAAGAAAATGAAACTGAAGTCTAAAAATGGTACTTCTAATCCACCTCTCTCCTTGGAAGACAGTAATGCTGACCTTTAAAGTAGAACTGACATGATAGCAATATTGGACAAGGACAGCAAAAAAAGAAAGTCACAAACCCATATCCTCAATGAACATAGATGAAAAAAATCCTTAATAAGACACTTGAAAACCTAATTCAACAACACATTAAAAGGATTATACACCATGATCCAATTGGTTTCATACCAGGAATGCAAGGATGGTTCAACATGTGCAAATCAATAAATGTAAGCGTAACACCACATAAATAGAATCAAGGATAAAAATTGATAATTGTCTCAGTTGATACAGAAAAACTTTCAACAAAATTTAATATTACTTTATGATAAAAGCTCTGAAGAAACTAGATAATGAAAGATGATGCCTCAATATAGTAAAGGATATATATGACAAACCCACAGCCAACATAATTCTAAATGAAAAAAACTAAATGTATTTTCTCTAAAGTCAGGAACATGACAAGGATGTCTTAGCACTTCTATTAAATATAGTACTTGAAATTTTAGCTAGAGTAATTGGGCAAGAAAAAGAAATAAAAAGGATACAAATAAAAATGAAACTAAATTACTCTTATTTTCAAGTGATATGACTCTACACTTAAATCAATTTAAAACTCCACAAAATAGACTAGATCTGATAAATTCAGAAAAGTAGCAGGGCACAAAATCAACATTAAAAATGTTAATGGCTTTTCTATACTTCAATAGTGAAGTAGCTGAGAAAGAAAACTGGAAAATAACTCCATTTGTAATAGCTTTTTCAAAAAAATCCTAGGAATCAATCTAACCTTGGTAGTGAAAGACCCCTACAAAGAAAGTTATAGAACACTGAAGAAAGAAATTGAAAAAGATGCTAGAAGGTAGAAAAACTTCCTATGTTTGTAGACAGAAACAATTAATATTGTTAAAATGGCCATAGTATTCAAAATTATATACAGATTCAATGCAATCCTTTTAAAATTCCAATGATATTCTTCCCAGAACTAGAAAAAACAATCCTAAAATTCATGTGGGAACACAAAGACCCTGCATAGCCAAAGCAATCCTAATCAAAAAGAGTAAGGTGCAAAGCACCACAACACCTGATTTCAAAGTATTCTACAAAACCACAGTTGTACAGCATGTTACTGGGACAAAAATAGACATATAGAGCAATGAAACAGACTCCAGAGTACAGAAACAAACCCACATGTCTACAAGTGCCTGATTTTTAACAAAGGAAACAAAAACATTCATTGGAGAAAAGATAACCTTCTTTAACAAATGGTGCTGAGAAAATTGAATATTGCTTTGTACAAGATTGAAAGTAGATCCCTATCTCTCACCTTGTACACAAATCAATTTAAAATGGATCAAAGACCTAGGTATAACCCCTGGAACTTTGAAACTGCTCAAAGAAAATATAGTGAAAACACTTGAAGCCATAGACCCAGGCAAGACTTTCTGAATAGGACCACAGTAGCATAGGAAATGGCAGCAATGATCAACAAATGGAACTGCATCAAATTAAAAAGTTTCTGCACAGCAAGAGAAACAACTAAGTGAAGAGACCACCTACAGAATGGGAGAAAATCTTTACCAACTGCTCTTCTGACAGAGGATTAATATCTCAAATACATAAAGAACTAAACAGTTTAACAAAAAAAATCAAAGAGTTTAATCAGTAAATGGGCACATGAATTGAACAGACACTTCTCAAAAAAGCAGTACAAATAACCCATAAGTATATGAAAAAATGTTCAACATCTTTAGTTACTAGGGAAATGCAAATCAAAACTACATGTACATTGAGATTTTATCCCACTGTAGTCAGAATGGTTGTCATCAAGAACAATAAAAAACAATAAATGCTGGTGAAGATGCAGAGAAAAATCAATCCTTCTACACTGCTGGTGAGAACAGTCCCTATGGAAATCAACATGGGAGTTCCTCAAAAAAACTAAAACTAGCACTACCATATAACCTAGCTATATCACTTATTGACACATACTTGAAGAAGTTATAGTCAACATACTATAGGGGTACCTGCATACTGATGTTTATTGTGGCTCAATTCACAATAGCCAAGGTATGGAACCAGTCTAAGTGCCCATCCACAGGTGAATAGATCAATACAATGTAGTATATGCAAAAGGGTATCATTCAGCCATAAAAAATGAAATGACAAAGTGATGTCATTTGTAGAAAAGTAGATGGTACTGAGAATCATCATTATGTTAATCAAAATAAGCCAGACTCAAAAAGACAAATATCAATATGTGGAATCTAAAAAAGGGGATGTGAAGGTAGAAGGGGGCTGTTATTAAACAAGAGGATGGGAATAGGTGGATAGGAGGGCATAAGAGAAAGCAACGGGGGATGAACGTGATGAAGATTTATTATATACACATGAAATAACACTTGAAGTACAATATTTTTAATTAACAGACACTAATAGAATATATCTAAAATCACAGTGACTTCAGTATAATTTTTGTTCATTTGATTCCGGAGAAAACCCCACTGCACCAATTTCCTGATGGATAAGTGTAGTTTGTGAAGAAATGGTTGAGAAATGCCCCCAAATTTTCTCGTAAAATTTGAAAGTAAAACCAAGGTCACGATACTACGGGTCCTTGGAAGTCTCTGAATGATTTTCAGTATTTCCCGTGGCTATTGTTGGGTAACCACAGAGTGAGCCTCGGTGTTGCCTACACAGGACCAGTCAGCCGATAGTCCCGCCCAAATGGGAGATGCACATTCCAACGAACCATTTGGTTACCCTGAAAGGAATGGCAAAATAAATTTGTAGAATACAGTAGTAAATTGATGTCCTAGGAGCCATGGTTGGGGATCAAAGTGGATTCTGTGTATGTTATGAATTTCTGCATTTTTATTTATATGTGTAGTTTCATCAATATTAGCCATTACTCATTTCAACACGTGCATTGTCGAATTTTAACACACTAGAAGCACCTTCATGTCTTTCTGTGTCCTTTGGATATAAGCATACTGATTTTAGAAGGCTTCCTTAATTTCTCCAGTGATATTTCAGGCTTCCCATACATTTTCTGCCCAATATCAGCAACCAAGGAACTCTGATCCTGAGACCACAAGCTGGGAAACTGGGGTGTTTCTGGCCATTGGACTGTTATTGTTTCTAGGTGGTTTATTTCTTTAGTGGGAAGAACTAAAAACTGTATTTTTTAAAAGAAAAAATGAGTGTATATTGATATTCAAGTTCAAATAACAAGGTTCTTCACTTATTTTTCTCTCATGGTGAAAACCTATTTCCTATTAATAGTAATCTAATCACTTATTTGCTTTATCTTATATTATGACACAATATATTTATAATAAATAACATAGTGTTATTACCTACAGTAAGACCACTGAATGAAGTGATTTATTTATGGTTATTGTTGACTTCAGAATATATCTCACTACACAGTCAACATACTACCTATTAAAATCAACTGATGTAGCTTTTTTCCCTTGTGTTATGCTATGTATTTGATATGCAGATAAGTTTATAGTTTTCTGTAAATTAAAGTGCAAAGAAATATTCATATTCATTCATGTACTGTTTTGTCTTACCCAAAAGGTAATGTAGCAAAACTTCACTATTTTGATTTTTTTTCCTTATAGTACATACTTATTATCACATCAGTGTTAAGGTATCTTCATTTCTTTTTACAGTTGCATATAACTGCATTGTGTAGTTCACCAGAATTTATGAACATTTGCATTGTTTCCAACCTTTTGTTATTATGAGTATCCTTTATCAAAAATGCATGGGACCAAAAGTGTTTTGGATTTTTAATTATTTTGGATTTTGTAATAGCAGATATGTAATGAGATGACTTGGAGATAGCACCTAAGTCTAAATGCAAAATTCATTTGCTTCATATACACCTCCTCACACATAGCCTAAGGGTAGTTTTACACAGTGTTTTTGGTGTGACTGCATTTTGGCTGTTCCTTGTCACATGATTTCACATATGAAATTTTCCACTGTGGTGTCATGTTGATATGCAAAAAGTTTCAGATTTTGAGTACTATTGAGTGAGTACTATTGAGCATACATAATTTAGGAGTTTTGCAGTGTACCTTTCAGGTAGATTCCCAGAAGAGGAATCAATGGATCAAAGGGAGGTACATGTACCATTTTCCAGCCTTAGCCAAATTCTCCTCCGCACATTTGGCATTTACTCTGGGAGTGTATGAGGGTACTGATTTTCCCGAAGCTTTGCAACAGATTGTTATTCTGTATTTTTGTCAACCTTGTAGGTGGAAAATGGGGTCTCAATGTGGTTTAGTTTCCATTTGTATCATGACAGATGATCATCACTCTGCAGGTGGCAGTGGTGCAGGGTAATTAGGGTCTAGGGACGCCAATGGCAGGGATATTGATAGTGATGTTCAGTAGCATCCAGCAACCACAAAGCCCTCAGTGGACAAATGTGGTTTCCTGTAGTTCTGTGCCGCGTAGACCTGCAGCAGTCTGTGAGCTGCCTAGCAGCTTTTAACATCCCTTGTTCATCTTAATCACCAGGCTGGTTCTTGCAGCTTACACCTGAGGACCAAGAAGGAGAGTTGGAGGAGCCATCGAGGGCAGGCTCTGAGTCCATTTGCCTCCTCAATGAATCAGAGGATAGGAAATTAAAGAGAAAATTGGTCTGTGGGTGAGGTTGGCCTTGGGAAGACACTGACCCAACTGGGACTCAGTAATAGGATACACGACCTACTGGAATTTGATGAATGCTATCAGCAACTCATCTTTTCTGATAGGAGGGAAAGTAAACTCAGGATGGTGTGGAAAGGGCTATGACTGTCTGTTCTATTGAAACCACACACATGTATTATTATAGGCCAAGGAAAACTTAATTGCAACCAAAAGCAAAGAAGCATTCTAAAAGCTCAAGGAAACAAGTAGTCCATTAGCCATTCATTCACTCACTCAAATAGTATTTTTCGAGCACTCATTATATTGCAGCATAATATTAGGTGCTAATGATGTAATGAACAAGATTCAGTCCTTGACTTAAGTCTATTACAGGAAAATAGGTCATAGGCAGCTAGAAATAAGCATGATACATGCATGCAGTGGTGTGGATAAACCAGGTGGAGTTATGGGAAAGCAGAATAAGCATAACTCATAGTTTAGAGGTACTTACTATGTGCCTGGTATCTGTTCATTTATTTTTAAAAGACCTACCTGTGAGGTAGGTACAATTTTTAATCTCAGCTTGACAGGTGAAAACACTAAGGCCACCTAAAGCAGTTTGTGCAAGGATACCCCACTAGACAAAGCAGGACCAGAACTTAGTTCTCTGTTTAGGTCAATTGGACAGAATTATTTCTATCTTTTGTCATTATTCCCAACTCCTAGGAGGTCAAGTTTGCAATGATTCATGCCTGGGAATTGCTCTTCCCTCTCTGGTGTGTCCTGGTGGTGGAGGGCAGGCTGGCCCCTTCCAGGGCAAGCTTGTTGTTGGTCATTAAGATTTTATCTGTGGCATACTTTGCTTATAGATGTATACGACATAGTAGGGCAGGGCATCATGTGCCTCTAATCCCAGCTGCTCAGGAGGCTGAGGTAGGAGGATTGTGAGTTTGAGGCCAGCCTGGGCTGCATAATAAGACCCCATCTTAAAAAACAAAGAAAGCAAAGCAAAGCAAAACAGCAAAATTCCACAAAAAGCAAAAAAGAAGTATATGACATAGAAGAGTATTTATGACATAGAAAGATATTTATTATCAGTTACGAAATTAAAAAGTGAGTTATTAAAATAGGAGGTATAAAATATAGCATAAATCTGATTTTAAGAAACATATAGTACATATATACTTATATATATATATGCAGAGTGTTAGCAGTAAAATTCTCTAGGTGATATAATTTTAGATGTTTTATTGAATTCTTTCACTTCAATTTAAAAAATTTTCTTTGATAAAATGAAATACATCTGTAAAGAGAAAAAACACTCCGGTGATTGATTGTGCCTTTTACTACAAACTATTTCATGTTACTTTAAAACATCAGCCACTAACTGGGCAGATTACTTAGACTTCTCTCTTAAACTCTCTGGTCTGAATCCTGGTGTCTCTTGCATTTTCCTTGGCTTTTCCTTAAGGGTTTGGGCATCTTTCTAGGTCCAGAAGCTCTTCACAGAGCAGGCTCTGAGAAACTGCATAGCTGTTCTCCTATGAAGACTGTTAGAACTTGTGAGACTCACATTCTTCTTGGAAATATTCCAGGTTGTACCATCTTTGAAAACTGCAAGAGCTGCCGGAATGGCTCATGGGGAGGCACTCTGGACGACTTCTACATCAAGGGCTTCTACTGTGCAGAGTGCCGAGCGGGCTGGTACGGCGGAGACTGCATGAGTAAGTACCTGTTGTATGTGTGAGCTCCAGCTCCTGTGTGTGCTGCTTTCAAGTCTCCACTTACAGTGGACTCAAGTTTATCTTATTGGAATCTGAGTTTTGGAAAGCTTGCAACCAGAGGGCTTTCTAGGTAAGACTATGAAAACAAAAGATGTGTTTCCATCTGCTGTGTGTGGGCTGTGGACATCTGTTTGGGACTGTAGGCCCAGGAGGTTTCTAGCTGCTCTCTGAGCGGGACTTTCTCATTAGTGAAGCCAAGGTGCTCTGCACACTGTCTGTATCCTGACCATTTCTGGAGCAAACAATGAATAAGGCTGCAAAAATATTGTCTGTAGTAGTGCATTTAAAATATGCATTTCTATTGGTAAACTTCCGAATCCTGAGTTAATGCGTGGGATGGACAACAAATTGCCACCATGCTAGGAAAGAGGTTGTCCCAGGAAAGAGATTCTTTACTTGATCCCAAAGAGTTACTTAATGTTTATTAGAGTTCCCTTCAGTGTTTCAATAATCTGAAAATAAAGTGGAATTCCAGCCTCTCTCTCTCTCTCAGTTTACCATTTCCCTCTGAAGTTCCCCAGTTGGTAACCATCCCTCTGAGAGTCTGTATCAAAATCAATGCACACGTTACTATTATTGAATTTGAGCAACTGCAAGAGATCCTGCGGGCATTTGGAAATTGGTTCCTGGAGTTCAGGAGAACTGCAGAGATTTAATATACACTTATGGGCATTAGTGAGATGCCACAGGGAGACTCAGAAGCATAAGATGGGCAGAGAGCTAACGTCAGAGAAGAACAACAAACATAAAATGAAAACAAAAGAAGACCAAGGAAGAGGTGGAAAAGAATAATCAGAGAGATGTGGCGAGAGCCAGTAGGAACAGTTTTAGAATCTGGGGAAGTAGTGTTTCCAAATAAGACAAAAAGGTCAAAAGGAATAAGGATAAGAAAGGAATTTTTGTATTTGATAGCGAGAAGGTGACTGGTGACCTAAGCCACAGCATTTTCCTACATATATGTGGAAGAAAGTTTTGAAGGGAAGGAAATAGAGACAAAGAGTGGAGACAACTTCTAAACAAGCACTTACAATAATATTTGAAAAACTTTTAAAGTAGTAGAGCAGGGATGGGAGAAATGAGGTGATAGTTGATAAGAGTTGTGGAAAAGTAGTAAACAGAGTTGTGGAAAAATTTTAGGTTAAGATGGAAAAGATTTAAACAGATTTGTGAGCTGATAAGTGTCAGAGGCTGAAGGGGTAAGTAGAAATAGTGAAGTCAGGAGGAAGTGAGACCAAGAACAAAGGTGAGAGTTAAAAGAAAAGGAATTTCCTCCTTCTAGTCTAGGCTGGGACCAGAGAGAGGAGGATGGTTTATGTAGAACCTATGTCCAGTTGTTAGTTATTGTATGTTAGGAGATGTGCCAAGTCCCTGTGTGCAATGTCTTGTGTTGTCTGTACAATTGCTCTATGAAATCTGTACTATCACCTTCTGGATGATGAACCTGAGGCTCAGAGATGTGGAGTAATTTGCCCAAGGGCACACACGGAGGGGTAAAGCCCAAGAAAGCCAATGTCTGTGCCATTCCTCACCCCTTGTCCTTAATCACAGTACTATGCCACCTCTCACTAGAGATTTCGCCTCTGAAATCTTTCTTTTCTTTGGAAAATCAGAAGTGAAATCTTTGCTGAGAGTAGGGTGGAGTGCACCTGGGGCTTGATGGTACCAAAGGTTTGGGACAGCTATGTAAGAAACAAGAAAGGACCCCGGTTAGGGACTCAGAGGAGCCCCTATGTGGAGTGCCCCATGTGTCCATTAGGGCAGCTGGGCATGGGTCACACCAGCTGTTTGGTTGGAACAAGAGTTGGCTAAAATGTGGCCAGGGTTGGGAAGGACATGAACCCAGAAAGCCTAATAGAGGGAGATGAGGGCTGGAGGTCTTCATGAGGTGGAACATTTGGCTTTGTAGTAAGAAATGGAGAATGTGGATGGAAGTGGTGATGTGGTCAGAGAGTAGAGCTCCAAGCTGAAACTTTCAGGGGTATATGGATAATATTTTATGTGATGTGATTGAAAAATATGGTAAATGTTTAAATTTTTTTAAAATGGCATTACAGTAAATGACACATTGCATCTGCCTCAGAACACTCCCCTTCGGTTCGAACACATTTGTCCCACCATCCTTGCCACTTTCTGATGCAGTTCTGAAAGTCATCTTTTGTGAGTGCCTTTAGTTGGGCTGTCATGCCTGCCTCGATGTCCTGAATGAATTCAAAACATTTGCCTTTCATGAACAATGTGACTGGGGAAGAGCCAGAAGTCGCAGCATGCTAGATTTCGTAAGTAAGGTAGATGAGGACACACTGGAGTGTTTTCAGGAGCCTGCATTTCTCTTGGAAGGTAATCACCTGAAGCATTCCCTGGACTTTTGATCTCACCTTCTGAAGACACGAAAGAGGAATTTTAAATGGCCTCAGAAAGTGGCAAGAATGATGGGATGGGTGTATTTAAAGAAAGGGCGAGTATTTTAAGGCAGGTGAGCATCAGTATGTCTTTTATGAAAAAACGCACATATTTTTATCATACTTTGTATGTTCTGGCCTGGGTTAAACTGCAGGCTCAGGCAGAGGGGCAGCTCCAAGCTGCAGGCCCAGGCAGAGAGACATGGGGTGTCCTTTTCTCAGTGTGTGCTTCAGATGTCATGAGGCCAAGCGAGACCCAGAAGCACACGTCACATCTCTTCTCACATCACATTCACTGCCATACCCCTGGCCGAAGGATGTCTCATGGCTAAGCTGCAAATTGGTGAAGAACACGAGGTGTGTACTCCATCCTGGTGGAGCGGGTACAGACATTTCCTAAAATACTGCAACACTTCTTGCAAGGAAGTGGGTTTGTTTTGGGGACAAAGGGAGAGGCGAGACAGGATGTTTGCAGGCAAGAGATCAAGAAATCTGATGGTAACAAGACAGGATAGTGGGCACACAGAGAGGTAGCTATACAGAGTCTAGCTGGCAGGGCTGGTGACAGTGTTCCCGAGCAGGATCAAGGTGGTCTCAGGGACAGCAGAACTGGCTCAGGGCAACCAGTCATCACCAGAAAACAAGCAGAGCAGAGCTCGTGACTCTATCTGTTCATCTACCAGTTCATTCAAAAATATTTCACGAATGGGTGCTCCGAGGTGCTGGACACATCACGATAAGCAGACAGACATGATCTATGCCACGTAAGGCTTGGAATTTAGAGAGGAGAGATTCTTTAAAAAGCAAAACTTGAATGGTAGTCAGTGCTATGAAGTAAACAGAGAATAAAGGTCAGATTCCTGTCTGATTCTGTTTCTGTATTGGCTCAGTTGTATCTGTCTGATTCCACCATGCCTGCTCTCAAAGCCTCATTCCACACAGGTTATATTATCACAGCCAGAAGTGCACAAGGAGCATTTCTTATGGGGCACCGGCCTGCCTGCCAGGTTATACAATGAACTTGCAAGGAGTGAAGAATCCATCTGTGGGAACAAGGCTTTCCCTAAGAAGGCACCAGTATGATTTTGTTCGGTTCCTATCACCTGCAATTCTCGTTGGTCCCACATTAATGTGAAGGTAGTTCATACGACGGAGTAATTTATTTCACTGTGAGGTGAATGCCTCCTGGTACAGGGCGCTTTGCTGCCTTCTGCGTTAAGGGTTGCTGAGCACTTTGGATGTCCCAGTCACGGCTGGGGCACAGTGGAGGAATCACAAGGCAGTACAAGCATTTACCCAGTAGATGGCGCCCAAGCAATCCTTTCAACTCGTCCTTTATCCTGCAAGAGGAGGGCTTCTTGCCCAGGGCCCTCCGTAGGGTTTTTTGTTTTGTTTTTGTCTTTGCTTTTCCCTGGTACCCTACAGAGCTTTAGTAAGAAGGAGGAGTCACAGACAAATGCCAGGAAGCATCAGAATAATTATCTTCCAGTGACAGAGCATTGAGTATTGAACAGACCTTAATTTGCTCACTGTCCTTGACAAAGTTTGTGATTGGATCAACCTACTCATGAGAATCTTAAGACTATTTTTCACCAGTTTGTTTCATTCTTACACACAGGCAGATTCATTCCTACCCCAGGAGGCTGCCTACGCCAGATCCCAGAGAGAACTCATTCACATCTTCCTGAAGATGGGTTTAGAAATCTCAAAATATCTCTACTAGGAGCTAGTGGTACTTTCTCTTCCTTTCCCCAACTTCTTAACTTAAAAAATTTCAAATCTACAGAGAATTGAAAGGGTGTATACATTTTTATACTTCATCTGGATTCACCTAGTATTATCATTTTCCAACAGCTGGCTTTGCATCTCTCTTTCTGCATTGTAGATTCATGGATTTTTTTTTTCCCCCATGTTTTCACATCTTAGCATTAGTTTTCCTTTTGATAATCAAATGGTATCAGATTTGGGTTTGCCCAGCAAAGAACCTTCATACTGTCTCCATACATCATTCTTTCAGGACTTCTTTGCCTTCTTGTGCTCTGCCCCCCCCGCCCCCATTTCAAGTTCACCTTTATTTCCTATGCTCCAGTCCTGAGACCAGCCATTTCTCCATGAATCTGGGTTCCTTTTAGAGGGAATGGTGCTTATGGCCTGTGATGTAGATACTGCCTAGTAGAGGGACTGGAATTGGAAGTCAACACTAAGGCCTTCTCACAGCTTCTTCACCTGGAAAGTTGAGTTCTTAAATGGAACCACCCTGCCGACTGACCTTGGAGTGGCATTTATTTAACTTGGCTCTCATTCTGAGCTCTTTATCCACCAAAAGAGAAAAGGGTGAGAGGTCCCGGAGCCACCAGGATGCTATGCTAGTGGCTAAGATCACAGTGATCTTAACTTTTCAGTCCCTGAAGGATATTGAAGATCTAAGAAGGTTAGGAAAGCATCCTAAATGACAGAGGATTTGTGGGGAGGGATTACAGGCCCTAATAGTACCTTTATCTCCTGAGTCACATTTTGGACAGAGGCAGAGGAGCAAAGGAA